TTCCACCAAGCAAGGACTCCCCACCATGCCCAGCTCTCCCTCCAGGCCAAGACCCCTCCCTCTGCCAGGACCTTCCCACTAGCCAAGAAACCTCTCGCAGCCAAGACCCTCAGCTCAGCCAAGACCTCCCTTCGAGCTCAGACACCCCTGCCCAGGACCTTACCCCTTGCCAAGACCCGCCTCCCAGCCAGGCCTTCGTGGCAGCCGAAGCCCTCGCCGCCCAGAGCACAGGCTCTGGGGGACCAGCAGCCACTGGGGATCCGCCTGGGGCTTCCAGGCCTGCCTTCGTGATCCCTGAGGTCCGGCTGGACAGTGCCTACAGCCAGGAGGCAGGAGCCGAGCGGGGAAGCTCTGGAGAGGAGGAGGCCGTGGAAGGGGATGAAGGGGACGAGGGGGAGGAGGAGGAGGACGAGGACACGAGTGATGACAGCTACGGTGGCGCGCGCAGCGAGGGCAAGCGCAGCAGCATGATTGAGGCGGGCCAGGGCGCGGAGGGCGGCTTCTCGCTGCGCGTGCAGAACTCGCTGCGGCGCCGGACGCACAGCGAGGGGAGCCTGCTGCAGGAGTCCCGCGGGCCCTGCTTCGCCTCCGACACCACCTTGCACTGCTCGGATGGCGAGGGCGCCACGCCCACCTGGAGCGTGCAGTCACCGCGCACCTTCAAAAAGGAGCTGGGCCGCAACGGCGGCTCCATGCACCACCTGTCCCTCTTCTTCACCGGGCACAGGAAGGTAAGAGGCTGGAAGGGGTGGGTGGGCAGAGCTGGGCCTTCGAGGAAACAGAGGCCCCCCCGGCCCTACCTCTGCTCTCCTCTAGGCTCTTGCAGAGCCTTCTCCCCACTCGACAGTGAAACTGAGGCTTGCAGGACCCTGAACCCATGCCTTTGTGGCTCCGCACGCCCCGCCCCTATAGCTTCTTTGCCACGCCCACAGGGAGTCGCCCCACCCCTAGTGGTCCAGCCCAGGACCTTGGATGTTTGGATCTAACAGGTTTGAGGCAGTAGCTGGGGGAAATGTGAGGGGGTCTTCAAAAAGTGTGTGGGAAAAGGGCATTGGAAGGTGATGGGGTTTTCCCGTGAACCTTTTGAAGCTCCCTCCTACAGAGTGTAGCCCATCAGCCAGCATCAGCCTCCGCGCCACATCGCGGGGGCGGTGCACAGTTTGACGCTGTGCTGGCTCTGTTCTGAACAGTTTACTCTCGCCCCGTCCTGCTCACGTGGAGCAGAGACTGCTATCAGCCCCCTGGTACAGAGGAGGAGACCGAGGCACTGGTGCCATCAGCTAGCTGGCCCCAGGCTACACAGGTGTACACTATGACTCAGCCGGAATTAGAACCTGGCTCCAGGCCGGGAGTGCCCTTGGCAAATATTTGTCCGTAGATGAGTAAGTATTGGTTGTTGTCCCGTGTGCGGGGCTCTGCCTCTGTACCACAGCGGGGGCTGTGGCCACGTGTCAGAATGCCTGCAAGCCCACCGGCCAGCCTGAGTCCAGGCTCTGTTCCCCGTCTACCGTGTGGCCTTGGGTGAGTCACGCAGCACCTCTGAGCCTTCTCCGAGCAGTGGGCGTGAATGGCACGAACGCATCAGGCGGTCGGTCGAGGATGAATCAAAACCTCGTGGGGTCTGGGGGCGTCCGAGACTGGCCTATGAGAGTGCTGGTTCCCACTGCTCGTCTCAAAGAGCTGGCTGTCAGTGTAAAGCCTAGGTGGACAAGTGTGGTGAGAAGGTGGGTGGAGGGGGTGCCAGTGCCTGAGGGGAGCGGCTGACCCCCAGAGATCTTGCAGCTCGGTGAGGAGCATCCCTGGGGCTATCAGCTGAGGTGACCGGAGAAGAAGCTTCCATGCTTTGACCTTGGAGGTTGAACGGCCAGGCCGACATTCTGTGAAGGAGGCCAGTCTGCTTAGAGCAAGGCGCTGCTACAGGACAGGGACATGGCACCCATGCTGCCAGGCCTCGCCCCAAACCCCTGCAGACATCACTAGTGGATTCCAGAAATCTTTCCTAGGTCCTGGTCCTTCTTAGCTTCTTGGCACCAGCAGTAAGCCTGACTGGGCACTCAGGAGGAAACCTCCTGGTCAGGCTGGAAGGGCAGCCTGCATTCCCCCAGAGAAGGACCTGCAATAGGGACTAGGGACCAGGGACTAGGACTGTCCCCGAACTTCCCAGTGGCCTTCACATGTCCGTGTGCTCTGAAGTCTAGGTTTCAGTGCTAGGCTTCTAGGGCCTGAGTTTCTAGGTGGTGCCCAGACCCCTCCAGGGGCCCTGATGTGCCCTTCAGTCTGGACATTGCTGCCATTCACGGATGTGGCAGCTGCAGGAGAGAGCCCAGGACCCTGCCCTCGTGGGCTTGAGACCTCAGGCTCCCTCAGGCCAGGCCTGGCCACTCGGCCTGGAGAGTGAGTGAGGCCCAAGGGTCAGCCACTTGAGTTGAGCCTCCCGGTCCTGAGTCCGAGTGTCCCCAGTCAAGCCCCCACCCCACCCCGGATCTGTTACAGGGATATAGATGAACAAATATCTGGTACACAGATGACACACACAGGGCCCAAGGACCCACGTCTCATTGTCAGCTTCGTTAATCTCAGCAGCTGTCTGGGGACAGATGCTTCTACCCAGGAGTCCAACAGACCTGGCGCAGCCCACTCCGGTCTCAATTCCCTCCGGTCTCAGCTCCCTCTTTAGAGTGCCACTGTGTTTTCCCCTAGGGCCCCCCAGCCACCTACAGCTCCTCACACCCTGACCTCTCCTGCTCTGTGGCTTCCCCCACTGACCTCCCGAGATGCAGCTACAGGGACCTCAGAGCCTGCCCGCCCCGAGGTAACCACCTTTCCTGTGGTTTCCGCTCCACAGTCCCAAGGCCTCCATTGTCACTTATACCCACAGCCACCCAAGTCTAGGGGGGGCACCCTGGCCTACTCCATCCCTCACTGATGGGGGGCTTTAGACAAGCTCCTGTCCCCACGTTAAGCCTCCGTTCCCTCACTGGGTATGGTCACAGGACCTCCTACACGGGGCTGCTGGCTAGATGACTTTAGCTGGAGGCAGATTCGGTGTTTTGGGGCAGTGCTTGGTACTCGGCGCCCAGTGGGGGCTCCGCGCGCGCGTGGTAATCACGTCTTGGAGGGAAAGGAGGAGGATGGTAGAGGCAAGAGAAGCAAAGCGGCGACAGCATCCACAGGGTACCTCCAGCTCTCGCACCACGGCTGCAAGGTCGGCCTTGTTCTTGCCCCACAGGTGGGCAGACCCAGCCATAATCGCTTCCAGCCACAGCAGAGGCCATGGATGGCAGTTTTACCCCCGTCTTATGGGGTCACTATGAGTTGGCACTGACTGGATGGCAGAGAGTTTGTGTTTCACCCAACGAGAGGCTGGCTTCCAGTGCTGAGTGAGGGGTCCACCTTGCTGTCTACTCCCAAGACCACCAGGGCCCACCCCTGCCCTTTTCCAGGCAGAGGGGGGAGGGGTGCAGAAAAAGCTGGGGGGAGGGGGGCATACAGAGAAGCTGAGCCCAGGAGGCTGCTGCCACTGACTTCCTCAGCTTGGCCTCACTTGGCCCAGGGTCCCTGGTCAGTCTCTGACCATGAGGAGGCCATTGGCTGTAGCTCCTTGCTGGCTGGGCTTCTGTCCCCACCTCCCCCTGCAAAGGGCGGGCTCGGCCCAGGGCTGTCAGCTCAGGGTGCCAGACCTGCTGCCCGGGGCCTGCCCAGCTATGCTGGAGGTCAGACGAGCCCTAAAGACTGACGGGTGCCCGAGTGTAATGGGACAGCGAGGAGTTCAGACCCAGGGTTTCAGACCCTTGGGCTCCATGGGGCTGCCGGGCTGGGCTTGGGCACAGTGCACAGAAGGAATCCTCGGTCAGGGTCAGGTCAGGGTTGACCATCGGGGCATGGGCTGTGACACCAGGGCTGAACTCCTCTGAGAGCCCCGGCATGCTAACAGCAGATGCAGGGCCTCTGCTTCCTCAGCGGTGCACAGGGCCAATCACAGCAGGGAGGTCTCAGAGCCGCTGTGAGGATGAAAGGAGAGACTGCAAATGGAAAGGCATCAGCACCCTGCCTGGCACAGAGGGCATGCTCAGTAAACAGCAGTCACACCCGATGTGGAACTGCTTAGGGTTCCCGAGGTTGGATGTACATAGTTATGGGAACAGACAGCCTCATCTTTCTGCCTCAGAGCTGCTGGTGGGCTTGAACGGACAACCTCACAGAGAGTTGCACAGTAACCACACGCGCTCACAGCTCCTGAGCACTCCTCCATGCCGGGCCCAGGTGCTCATCTTGTCACAGGAGCTAACAACTCACGCGTCCCCATAGCCCTGCCAGCAGGTTTAAGGATTAGCCTTGCTTTCCAAATGAAGAAGCTCAGGTGGGGTGAGGAGCGCTGGAGGTATCCTGGTGAAAGGCTCAGCTCTAGCTGCTGAAGGACAGGTTGGCGGTGTGAACTCACCAGCGGCTCCGCTCCGCGGAGACAGAGACCTGGCGATGAATCTGCTCTGCTGGAGGTTATAGCTCTGGCCTCGCTGTGGGGCGGGTCCATTCCGTCCTGCAGGGCGGGTGGGCGGCTAGGAGCTGGAATCCACTGGATGGCCAGCAGAGACTGGCAGAGAGGGGAGGCAACTTGGCTTGGCCAGTTAGCCGATAGTTTGGCTGCACCAAGCCCTGGAGCCGGCTCAGCAAGGCCAGGAAAGACTTGGGGACCCCTTGGAGGTGGGGGAAGGAAGGGTTGGGTGGAGCTGTGTTGGTTTCACTTGCCCTTCAACAGGGCACGGTCACTTGGAGAGACAGCAGCGAGCAGATGGGCACAAAGGTGCTTCTTGGTGTTAGACACCCCCACCCCCTAAAGGTTCAGGTGGGGGAGACTTGAGGGCCACTCTGGGGAGCTGGGGAGTGGCCACCTAGGGCTGGGAATCAGAGCCCTGCCTTTGGTTTCTTCTCGGCTGGGCCCTGGGAGCAAACAACCTTGGGTACCTGCAGGGCCCATCCCCAGGCTTGGAGCTGCCAGGGTCCGCGAAGATGAACCCCTCCCAGTGGAAGGAAGAGCCCATTTCCCAGTGGTGCACAGAGGCGGGGAGGGGGTGTGGGGTGGCGGGCAGGGTGGGAAGGTCCCCCGGCCCATTGTGTGGATTCGATAAAGTACGGAAGCTGAGGTTAGAATGGGAGGAAGCCCAGCGCCCGAGGACCCGTTCCCACGGGTGGGGCCTCCGGGCCCTGCCCAGTGTGACCACAGCCTGTGTGTGTCGTCGGGTGAACAGCAGGGCCACTCACCAGGCTGGGAGCACTGGCAGCCTTTGGGTACAGAGGGTGCCATGTGGGCCAGGACCTTGTGCCTCTCTGTCGGGGAGGGGGGCAGGCTGCTTTCTGGGAAGTCTTGCAACAGCCCCCTGTGGGTGGCTGCCACCACGTGGGGACTCAGCTAAGGAATTGAGGCAGAAAGGTGTCCAAAGCCCGTGGGGACGGACGGCTCCATCCCCAGGCTTGGCTCCAGACATTCGCCCGGTAGTCACCCACTGTATGAGGGTGTGCACGTATGCAGGCGGGTGTTTACTCGGGCCCGGAAGGAGGTGGCATTTCCCTGGAGTCTCACTGAAACCTGTAAACGGTTTCCGGAGGAGCAGCATCCTCTGGTGGAGAAACGTGTGTGTGCTGGTGTCAGACAGACCAGCCGGAGCCAGAGCCGATTCACTGTGGCTTTACCGTGAGGGCTGATGAGATAGCTTCTGCAGAGGGAGGATCCCCGTGGCACAATGGCTACGGGTGGGGCCCAGAACCAAACAGTTGGTGCTTTGAACTCTCCCCACTCCCCCTACCTCTTCCTGGAGAAAGGCCAGGTGATTTGCTCCCATAAAGACTACAGCCTAGAAAACCCTTTGGGTGTCACTACGAGCCAAGAAATTGACCTGACGGCACCTGACAACCACTTTGGGATACTGCCAGTTCTGGACCATAGTACGAAATCCATATGTGAAGTGAAAATTCACCCAGTTATCCATCCATCCATCCATCCATCCATCCATCCATCCATCCATCCATCCATGCATCTTTCCATCCTCTCATGGTGTAAGAGAGGCTGCCCCAGTGAGTCTGGTTGTTACTCCTGCTGGCTGTCCCTAGAATAAGGCCACCCGCCCATCTCTGGATTTAAGAATGGAGTTTTTAAAGCTTAACCCATCTCATCTGCTTTATAGAAGAGGGAAGGGAGCCCCAGGTAGGTCCCATGAAGAATCAGGGCTGGGGTCCACATTTGGCGACCTGCTGTCCCACTCTGGGCTCTTGCTCCTCTGCTGACTGGGAGCATATTTTGGGCTGGGTGCCAGGCTGGCACTTCTGGGTCCTGGGTATCCCCTGGAGGAGTGAAAACATACAGGCAGGGCGAAGCAAATGGGTGGGTGGGGGGGGGAGTTTGGAGTGGTCTGAAGGCAAGGACAGAGGCAGGGACAGAGAGGAAGAGGAGAGAGGACGTCCCAGCAAGGGGGTACTGCACAGGCCAGGAGGAGGAGATGGGTGTGGGGTGGGGTGGGTGGAGTCTTTGAGCTGCAATGCAGCAGGGAGTGATGGAGCCAGGGTCTGGGCCCTGGGGTTCAGCAGTGAGACCTCGTTCATTAGCCTAGGCTGAGTTAGCTAAAACCACACGTACCCATGGCCTTGGAGTTGCTCCTAACTCCTAGCAACCCTGCAGGACAAAGCAGAACTGCCCCACTGGGTATCCATAGCTGTAAATCTTTTATGGAAACAAACAGCAACATCTCCCCACAAAGCAGCTGGTGGGTTTGAACTGCCAACGTTTTGGTTTGTGGCTCACTGCTCAAGCCACTGCACTGCCAAGGCTTCCTCCTGGGTCCTCTAGAAAAGCAAAACTAGTGATAATACGCAGGGGCTTATTGGAAAAATAAGCTCATGGAAAAAAATCCCTTCTCTTTTCATTTTATTATTCTACGAAATCCTGAAGCACCCTTCCATAGAAATATAGAGAGCTATTTTTAATAAATGCCTTGTGAAGTTGTGTTGTGGAGGTTGGCAAGTCCCAAATCTGTGGGCCCGGTGTCAGACGGGAGGCTTCTCCTGATTTAGGTGGCTGCAGGGGCTGACAAACCCCAAATCAGTAGGTCGGCTGTGAGGATGCTGGCTCACACCTCAAGAACCAGGGGTCAGAGGGTTGCAAATAGGATGCAGGATGGAAGAGAGAGAGACAGTGTGTGTGAGCCCACTTTGCCAGACTCCTCACTGCCATCAAATCGATTCAGACTCCTAGTGACCCTAAAGGACAGGGTAGAACTTCCCCTGTGGGTTTCTGAGACTAACTCTTCACCAGAGTAGATAGTCTCCTCTTTCTCCCACAGAGCAGCTGGTGGCTTTGAACTGTTGATTTTGTGGTTAGTTTTGCCAGACATCCATATATATCGGATGCAGGTGGTAGCCCCAAAGTGCCCTCCCCCACTTTAACTGACGAGCTGCTCACTGAGGAGCACACAATGGAGGATAATTATATCATAACCAATAAACCACTGAGGATCGTGGCCTGGCCAGGTGGACCCAACCTTAACCATCACACTCATTTCCTGGGTCAGCCTCCTGACCATAGATTCATGCACCCATGGGATAAACACTCCTTGAGCTCCTGATAGGTGAGTGAGGGGTCTTAGAAGCTCAGTGAGGAGTGGTTACCCCACCGGAGGTCTGGTCTCCAGCCTACTGCACTGCCTGGGACAATGCCTTCCCCATCAGTTCTGTCCCCCTGGAGACTCCCCACCAGGCCAGACCTACAGGCATCCGGAGGGGACCCCGTTGCCGGAGGCAGTGCCAACACATTGGCTGTTCCCAGCAGCGCTTCCCCCCCCCCCCCCCCGTTAGGCAAGGGTGGGAGCTTTGGGAGGAGGAGGGCTGGCTGCCGGAACTGTTGGGCTCCTGAGTGGTCCCTTGCCTGGGCAGTGGCCTCCGGAGCCTTAGGCTGTACTGTGTCTCCGTCTTCTCTCTGCAGATGAGCGGGGCTGACGCCGCCGTTGGTGACGATGATGAAGTCTCGCAGAAGAAAAAGAGCAAAAACCTGTACGTTTGGGAAGATCCATGGCCCTCAGGTCCCCCTTCTTCTTCCGCTGCCCTCAGGCTGGGTAGAAGGGGCTGTGCCCAGTCCTGCCACAGCCTCAGACACCCAGTGAACAGGGTCAAGGGGCTTAGCGGTGGCCCCAGGGGCTGAGTGTCCAGGTCCGTCCTTCATATTCACAGAGCGTGAGGCTCTCGAACCAACCAGAGGCCTCGGGCAGGTTGCCCTCCACTCCCTCTGTGACCTGAGAGAGGGCTGACCTAACTTCAGGGAGTCCTGTCCCCTTCAGGCTTGAGTGCTGACGGTGTTGGACGCCACCACGAGGGGGCGATGCAGACCAAGCCAGAGGAGCCTATGCTTTCCTGGCTGGGCGCCCTTTCACTTTCAGGTGGTAGGAGGTGTCCGGGAACTAGGCGTGTACCCTGTGTTCGAAGGGGTTCTCCTGTTCTTGGAGCAAGTTCACGCGCGGGAGAGTGGCCCGCACACTGTGGCTCCCAGGGGGAGATCCCCCTCCTCTTGAGGTTCTGCCGTGCCCATGGACATATTCACTCTGGGCCTGCTTGGGGGTGGGGGTGGGGTGGGGTGGAAAACAAGAGCTTTCCCCCAGATGCCTCAGGTGGCCCTCTTCCTTAGTTTTGGGGTAGCTTTGACCTGGGCCAGGGCCACTGCCCGAGAAGCCCTTTCTCACCCCATGCCGCTTTGCATCAACTGGAGGCGTCTCCCACTCTCTAGCCAAGAACAAGCTGCACTTTCTAGGGAAGGCAAGGGCATAAATAAAAATAGCCCTCTGCACCAACTGCCCTTATTTAACCTCTGGTCGGAGCGGGGAGGCTCTACGCAAGGCCGGCCGGAGCTGCTGGGTGGGAGAGGGTTCCCGGGGGTGGAGCCAAGCCTGGCAGCAGAGAGCAGGCATCCCGGGGGTGCTGAGGGCCAGCTGCACGCACAAATGACGTGCCCATCACCACTAGCCCCCTTTGGGGATGCCTCAGCTCACATTCTGAAGGGCTCAGTCGAGGACTCTTGGAATCTGTGGTCCTGATACAAATAGGAACCCGTGCTGCTTGTGATGGGCTCTGCTCCCATGCGCATTGCGAATGCCGTATCATTTTGTCTTTCCCCCAAGCGTAGCGATTAGGCATCATTACCATCCTTGACTTATCAGCGAGTGAACTGACTTGCTTGTCCAAGGTTCTGGGAGCTAGGATCTGAAGCCTGGCCTGCAGCCTCCGGGGCCTGTTATTTTTAAGTTGGACACTGAGTCTCCACTTCCCACAGCACCCTTGCCAAGTAGTGGCAAAGCCCACTCTCCCAGAGGCCCTTAGCCTCCCCTTCTGACGGCGCTTCTACCTTTGCTTACCCTTCGGAAGGTTGCTCACGGGGGGCATGACCCTCCCAGGACCCCCTCAGCTCTGCTAAGTGGCTGGTTGACCTGGAAGAAAGGCTTGGCTGCCCAGAAGGCTCTGCTTTCTCCAGCCACAGAGAGCCAGCCCCCTTCCCACCCCGCCCTGGGATGCTCCGTCCTCACTATGGGCCCTAGGAAGGGACTCAGCACAGAGCACCTGCTGGGGCACCTTCTGAACCACCTCTCGTGGCCCACCCAGGCTTGTATGCCCTTGTCTTCCCTAGAAAGTGCACCTTGTTCCTGAGGACGTTGGCCCTCACCTGGAGGGCTCCCGAGGCGAGCCTGACGTTCAGAGCAGTTGGGTCACTTAATTGACAAGTGACCCTTGGCTTGCCGGTAACTGTCGGCTGGGGCAGGGACTTGAGCCCACAGCTGTCTGGCTCCAGAGGTTCTAGCCCTTCCACACCAACCTGTCCCACTTTCCCTTCATTTCACATGGTGACCGCAGCTGTTTTAGTGCTCAGTGCTTCAAGCTTCATGACCCTGGAAGCAACAGTGGGGCAGGCTTAAAAAACATTGGGAAAGTTGAATGATTTAAATTTGTTTCACGGTTTGCTTAGTGTTGTGATTTTGATCAGACCACAACTGATCTGATTGGAAATGTAAAGGGTTTTTTTTGGCTCTCTGTCAGCGTTTACCATCTTCAATCAGAGGAACCGGAACCCAAAGTTTAAAATCACTAAGATTATATTTAAAAACCATATGCACACACCAAAAACCGAGAAAGCCAAAAATAAGCGTTTTAAGTAATTAAACTTTCAATTGGTGTTTGTGCAAATTTGTGGCGTTTATATGGCTTATGTGAATGAGGCTTAAACTGGCCCTTAGACTTTTGGGTCACCGCATGTGCCCAAGGGACCCCTAGGTTAGGTTACATGCAGGGGTCCAGCCCAGCAGGTTAGGTTACATGCTCGGCTGATAACCAGGAGGTCAGCAGTTCCATTCCCCCGGTGGGAAAGATGAGGTGTTCTGCTCTGAGACCCAAAGGGGCAGTTCTGCCCTGCCCTATGAGTTCCCTGTGAGTCACAATCCACCGGAGGGCAGCCCGTGTCCACTGCCAGTGACTCAGCCTGGGAGGTGGTCTAGGGATCAAGAGGGGGGGAGTGTCAGGGAGCCCTTAACCCTTTCCTTTCCACGAGCTTTGCACAGAAACAAGCTGCCTCTGGAAAGGGGGCGGTCAGACTAAAAATGGTTCCTGGTTAAAAATAGCCCGGCCTGCCACCCTGATGGGCAGGGCCTACCCTCCGGCCCTCCCAGCAATTTGCTGACTGGCTTTCTCCTCCTTCCCCGGGCGCCGCCATGGTAACGGGAGGCCGGTCACAAATAACTGGATCTGGCTTCCTGCCCACCGGCCTGCCGGGGGCTGCCCCTGGCAGACACATGCCCTTCGCGGACGCCGGGCCTCTCGGGTTGGCCAGCGAGGGTATTTTTTTCCCCTCCCGCTTGGGTCCCTCCCATTTCCTGGCTCCGGCGGTCTGAGTCCGGCCCTGCGGGGCCCGCCCCGCGAGCGCACTCCTCCGCGGGTGCCCAGCGAGCAGGAGCCCGGGAGCCGGCGAGCCGAGCGAGCCAACGCGTGCCCTGGCCGCTGCTACCCGCACCGCGCGGACTGCTGCGCCGCGCGCATAGCTGGGACGCGGGGTGGGGGGCTGCAGACTGCTCTGGGACCCCGAGGTGCTGGGCCCCCCCACGGCAATGCTCCGAGGCATGTACCTCACTCGCAACGGAAACCTCCAAAGGAGACACACGATGAAGGAGTAGGTGCTCCAGCCCCCCCACCCCCACCCCACCCCGGCGTGTGCAGGGCCCGCGTGCGTCTCACCGACCCGTCCCCCTCTGCTTCGGCCCCCAGAGCCAAGGACGTGAAGAACAAGCTGGGCATCTTCAGGCGGCGGAACGAGTCCCCCGGTGCCCAGCCAGCGGGCAAGACAGACAAAGTGATGAAGTCTTTCAAGTAGGTCCACCCCGCCACCCCCAGGGCCCCTCCTGGACCTCCGGGAGGGGGGTGGGCGCCAGCACAGGGGTGAGGCGAAGGGGGCATTTGTTGGCTTGGCCCAGCTGTGGGTAGATGGGATCTCAGAGGGGCGCCTGGTGCAACCCTGCCTGCCTGAGAGGCCAGGGTGGGAGGGAGTGGGGCCAGGATGGGGCTGGTCCCAGGAAAGGGTGGGCTAAGATGTTGGTGCCGGGCAGCTGCCTCCCTCCTGTATTCCCAGGGGCTGGCAAAGGGTGCCCTGCCCCAGCCTGCCGCCCTCACCGCGCCCCCATGTGCCCCTCTTTGTGCCCACAGGCCCACTTCCGAGGAAGCCCTCAAGTGGGGGGAGTCCTTGGAGAAACTGCTGCTTCACAAATGTAAGTGGGGCCAGCGGCCATTCCCTTCCTCTCCCCTCCCTCTGCCTCCGCGGACCCCAGAAAGTGCCTGGTCCTCCTTTTCCTTGGCTGTCCCTGCTGTGCAGGAGGCTGGGCCTAGGCCGAGGTCCTTGGTCTGGCCTTGGAGCTGGCTTCTGCCAGCGCCGCCCTGTCCGCAGGAGCTGGCATCCCTGGCCAGAGGCCACTGGGAACAGACTCAGTTCCAGAGTGAGAGTAAACACTTCTGTGTACCAAGGGCCTGCACTGGGTAAAACGAACCAGCCACCTCCTGGGCACGATCCCGTTTGATCCTGGAGAAAGGGTCTGGTGGCCCCCGCCTTGCAGATGAGGAGATGGGAGGCCTAGATCTGGGAGAGGTGACCTGCCCAGGGTCCACCCGCAGAGACAGTCGCAGGGCTAGGACCACATCCCCGGGTTCCCAGCTCTCTAGCGCCTCCCTCATCCTGGGCCTGGCCTTCTCTTTGCAGACGGGCTCGCTGTGTTCCAGAGCTTCCTTCGCACGGAGTTTAGCGAGGAGAACCTGGAGTTCTGGTTGGCCTGTGAGGACTTCAAGAAAGTCAAGTCACAGTCCAAGATGGCAGCCAAAGCCAAGAAGATCTTTGCCGAGTTCATTGCCATCCAGGCGTGCAAGGAGGTAGGACCCCAGATTCAGCCCTCGGTTCCGCCAAGCCCCCTGGGCCCATGGTCGTGGGGGCGGGCAGGGGAAGGAGGCGGGGTTGGCAGCCTCAAGGAGGTAGCCAGAAACTCAAGCCGGGGAGAGGCCAGCGTAAGGCTTGGAAATCACGTACCCAGTGTGGACAGAGAACGGGCAGGGGCCAGGCAAGAACAGAATCCTACTCTTAATGAAGTGGGTCACAAGCTGTGGACTGCCAGAGGGTCCGGCTGTGTGTCGAAACCACCTGGACAAGACCTATCAGCAGCACTGTGCCGCAAAAGAGGGCTTTAGTGGCACCGTGGATGGCAGGTTCGGCTGCTCACCACGAGGTCGGCGGTTCCGGCCCAGTTCTCACTCTGTGAGAGAAATACGAGACTTTCTGCTTCTGTCAAAGTGTCCGTCTTTGGAAACCCACAGGGCTGTTCTTTGCTGCCCTATAGGGTCAGCTCGATGTGCCAAGGACATGGTAACCCCCGTATGTCCTTAAACTTAGTCCTCACCACGAAGTAGGTTGCTGTGCAGTCTGTACCACAAGAGCGGGCGCCTGTGCCCACGGTGTGCGAAGGGCCTCCTGCGCGGGGTCCTGTTTCACCTTCTCGCCCCAGGAATGTGCTTCCAATCCTTCCAATTCCGAAGGTGGAGCAACCTGTGGCCTAGAGAATGTCAGCATTTGCTGCAGGTGTGGCAGTGCTGGGGTTTGGATCCAGGCAGCCTGACCCTGGAGGAGGTGTTTGCGGGCCCCATAGAGCCTGCCACCCCTGCAGCAAGTGACCAGGCTGGGATCTGGAGGCCCCCGCTCGGAACCAGCCCTGACCCTGTTGCCGTCTTGTCTGCCCCCACAGGTAAACCTGGACTCGTACACGCGGGAACACACCAAGGCCAACCTGCAGAGCGTCACACGGGGCTGCTTCGACCTGGCGCAGAAGCGCATCTTCGGCCTCATGGAAAAGGACTCATACCCACGCTTCCTGCGCTCTGACCTCTACCTGGACCTCATCAACCAGAAGAAGATGAGCCCCCCGCTTTAGGGGCCACCGGGGCAGAGCTCAGCGTTCACACCAGGAGGGCTGGGCCCCCCTTCCCACCTGCCTCCCTCCCGTGCTGAGACGGAGGGGGCAAGAAGGATCCCCGGAGGCTTCATCTCCGGTTGGACATACGGACATGGGGATGCGAGGCCTGGACCAAGAGGCCCCGGCCACTGGAGCAAGTAGAAGGGCTGGCCCCATTGGGTCCCCGTTGCCCCGGTACGAGGGGGCCCCCAGGGCCCTGGCAGGTCAGGGACTCAGCTGAGCCAGATCCGGAGCTGCTGCTGCTCCTGATGCGGACAGAGACTTCGAGTTGACCAAGTTCTTCAACGAACTGGCTGGCGGGACAGGGGGCCCAGGACGGGGCTCTGGGGCCCTTCCGGGGCGCTGCCGGGCCTTGCAGCTCAGAGCCCCCCTCCTTGCGTTTTATTTATTTAAACCATAGCTGGATGCTTGGCACGTTGTCCTGTGATAGGAAACCCTTGCCTCAGCAGTTTTCCTAATTTCCAAGTGCAATATTTTAACCACCGGGTGAAAAACCACCTTGCAGAAAAGGCCGGCAGGCACCGTTTTCCAGTTTCAGGGAATTTGCTGGTCCAGGGTGGGCAGCCAGGCCTTCTGGGCTGACGGAAGCCGTAGGGACGCTGCAGTCTGACCTCACACAGAAAGCCACCTGGGTGGCGTGGCCCTGGGGTGCTCTGGGAGAGCACAGCACCCCAGACTGCACAGCAGCCAAGTTCTGGAGGAAATAAAAGGCCTGTGTTCCTTCCTGTCCTCGGCCCATTCTGTGTGTTCCTGCTCTTGAGCCTTCCAGGGGGTCTGGGCTGGGAAGACTGGAAGGTGGGGTGTCAGTCCACTGCTCTTCTCCTGGCCTGTCATGGCCTCCTCCCCTCCTGGAGCTGTTTGCAGGCCATGGTGACCATGGATCTGTTAGTGGCTACCTCTGCTGGACCGGGTGCTGTGCCATGCACACTGCTCGTATCACCGCCTCACTGGGGCCTTTGGAGCAGGGGTGCCCATTATACAGATGAGGAGAGTGAGCCACAGGTAGGGAAAATGAGCTGCAAGACCACACGGTCAACAAAGGGCAGAGATGGGGCTCAGCTTAAGCCTGAGGGGGCTGAGAGCCTATGGTTTGGATCGCTGACCTCTACCAGCTGCACAACAGAGTCCCAGCTTGGTCACCAACTGACTTGGTGACCTTCGGCAAGTTCTTCACTGTGCCCTGTCCCACCTGATATTCCAGGGGAACGTCTTGCTCGTCCAGGAATGGCTGATGGAGGTAGATGGGGCCAGCTGCCGCAGACAGATGGGAGGGATAGCTGGGCAGGGGATGAGAAGTAGGGGTGGCAGGGAGTCTCTGTGTGGCCCCAGAGAAGCCTTTTCTTCGGTGCTCAGGAGATGCAATGTGGGACAGGCCTGGTCTAATGTCCCTTTTGGGGGGAGGCCTTGGACCACTTGACTCGAGGGGATTGGCCTGGGGGTCCAGGACCCAAGACAAGCTGGCTCGCACATACACAACCTCTCAGGCTCCCTGGCTCCGAGGGGCTGGTTTAGATGAAACTGGATGGGATTGGTACCAGTGGGGCTGGGCCCCTGCTCCCGGGATCCTGGCTTCTGATCTGCTTACTCTCCCCACTGGCCTCCCTGCACAGTGAGAACAGAAGTGAGCTCAGGCCATCAGGGAGGTTTGGGGGGTGAGCTCTCCCCTGGGTGGGTGGGGAAGCAGGTCTCTACTGTCGCTCCCTCTGCTCTGGGGCCTGTCTGATCAATATTCCTGTCTGGTCAGTACTCCTCTCTCATCAGTATCCCTGTCTGAGCAGTACTGGGGCCTCATTCCTGTCTGATCAATACTTCTGTCTGATCAATATTCCTATCTGATCAATACTGGGGCCTCATTCCTGTCTGATCAGTACTCCTGTCTGATCAATACTGGGGCCTTGCTCCTGTCTGATCAATACTCCGGCTGCCCAAGGTTGATGGCACCCCTCCCTTCTGCTCATAGTTGCCCTGGGTATACCCTTGTGGGAGTGACTCTGGGAAGAGACTTTGAGGGAATCTCCTGTGTGTTTTCAGTAGCCAGTCGACAGCCATCTGATAGCCCATTCCTCCTCGGTAGCCCTGCCCTAGCCGTGCCAGAGGGAGGGGCGGACTTGTCAGTCTCCCAAAGCTGCTGTGCTCTGGATTCCAGCTGGCTCGGGTTTGACTCCAGCCACTGTTAGTGACCTGCTCTGCTATCTTGGGAAGTCACTGCCCATCTCTGAGCCTGCAAAAATGGGGAGGCTACTTCTGCCTGCTTACTGCTGGGGTGAAGATCCAGGAAGCCAGGGCACAGGAAGCGCCTGTCCTGGGACCAAGCCAGTGCTCCATGCAGATTGGCCACTGTGTCTCCAGGCCCAGAGTACCAGCTCCTTCAGGACGGGGGCTGGGGATTTATTCCTTCAGGTGAGCAGGGGCTGTCACGCTTGATGTGGCTTTGTAACCACGAAGACCTTTCCCATTGGGGAGTGTCCCCTCCCTCTAGGTGGGGAGAAAGGGTTGCTGAATGAAGCCCCTGATTCTGAGCTAGGGCACCACGGAGACGATGACGGAGGCCCAGAGAGACGGGGAATACCCAGGCCTGTCACCCCGAGAGGCAGTGCCAGTGCCTGGCACCTCTAGGCTCAGTCTAACCTGGCCTTCTGAGACTTCCTCTCTGGGGAGGAGCAACTGGCCCCCACCAGGAGACCACCTCGCTCTTGCTTCAGGTTCTGTGGGAGTCAGGCTCACCACCTTCCCACCCCCACGTTGCCGTGGGAACCCAAGTCCAGGAACTAAGTCAGGCAGATGGAATGCCTGTGGTGGAAAGCCCCAGTGCCTGGTTTCCATTACTCAGCCCTGCATCCCTTGGCCTCAAAGCAGCTTTGGCTGCACAGCTGGATGGCCCACGGGAAAGACACTGGGTTTTCTTGCCCTCGGCTCCACTTGGGCTTCCTGAGGGACCTTGGGATGTCATTTGCTTCCTTGGACCTCAGGCTCTTCACCTGTACCTTGTTGCCTGGCCCCTCGCCTGTACCATACTACCTCCCTGTAACCCCAAGAAGAAGCAGGCTCCCTGGTCTCTGTCTGATAATCCTAGGCTGTGTCGATGTGGGGGGTCTCCGAGCTGTGAGGTTAGGAAGTCCAGATAACCCCCCATCTCACAGAGGGGAAGACCGAGGCCTTGGGGGGGGGGCGGGGACTGGCACACCCTAGAGGGTAAATGCTTTGGAGGCAGGCGCTCGGGGTTCAGCACCAGCTCATCTTCTTACCAGCCATGGATCTTTGGATTCGTCATCTCCCAAACCCTTTCGAATCTATGCACCGTCGTGCCTCTTGGCACCTGCCCCGCAGTGAGGTCACGCGTGCAACCCACTTTGCGCGGTGCCTGGCGTGGACGGTGGGCTCCCCCAACACATGCTGCTGTGGGCACCCTCTTGGCCCGGGGTCATTCAGACCAGGACTGTACCCCCAGGGGGCCGTTAAACTCAGGTCATGAATTTTCTTCCCTTCCAGGAATTATTTTGCTGGAGATCAAAATCGGGCTGTTCCGGGGAGTAAGTCAGAAACAGTCTGTCCCCATGCTGCTGGCCCAATGTTGGCTGGCCTGCGAGTTCTTGGGCTTCGCTGGCAGCTACGGTGTGGCAGGGAAGCAGGGGAGGAGGGCGCAGCCAGGCAACTCTGCTGCCAGTGAGGGGGGTCTCACCCCAAGGTCCACCAAGCTCCTTGTTGGCAAGTGAAGTCCCTCATGTTGGTGGTATGATCGCCTGGCCTGGCTCGGGGCAGCTATGCCCTCCTTGGCACACCAGCTTGGCAGCGGCCATCTCATTCGCACAGCTGCCCAGTGCTTAGAGCCCTTCTTCAACATCTGCTTGCATCCCCCTCATAATGGGAAGCTCATTCCCTCCCAAGGCAGGCCAGGAGAGCCTGGGAGCCCCTTGGTGATTCTAAATTCTGTCCAGCTGGCGTCAGGCCCTCTGGGGTGGGAGTGGGAGCAGCTCAGTAGCCCCTGCTGGTCTCTTGCCCAGGCAACCACTTATTAAAAAACACCAATGGTCATTGAGTCGATTCCGACTCACAGGGACCCTATGGAGCGAAGCAGAACTGCCC